TTTTTTTTTTTTTTTTTAAACAACATGAAGATTACCTCCCATCATCTGATGATAACCAGTCTCGTTTCCAGGTCCAACCTCAGGCTGATCCCGCTTCTTCTGCTGCTGCTTCTTGGTTCCACTCGCGGGATGCCGCACGTTTTAAGATTTGGTAAGAAATCTGTTCAGGTCTCGTGCTCTTATCTCGTGTCTGATAACACTGGCATAGAGCTGATGGAGGCAAAGAGCAGACGTGCATCGTGTTGCATGTCGTGTCGCTTCACATTAGGAGTGGGGAACAAATGTGTGTTGCTCAGAAGCGCAACTTGACTTCCCGTCGTGACGTTTGGAGTTGTTTTAGGAGTTTTATTGACTTGAAGCAGAGGGATTTAATGAGCAACAGCTCAAAATCAACACTTTCGACTTCCTCTGTCCATTGCAGTAATGGGTAACCTCATTGATTTCTGATATCCTAAAAGTTGTACAGTTCCCCCAGCGGGGCTTCTCAAGTGACGCGTGATGAGATTATTATCAAAGAAAGTTTCCATGGCGCAGGATGGGACCCCTCACGGAGGAGAATCAGCTCTGAATAACTCCAACTTTGCTTTGAAAAGTTCATCATGTTCCACCACCCCCACCCCCTCCATCTCTTCCAGAACTATTGTCTGCTCAGATCTGATTGCATGTATTTAATGTTGATTACAATTGCCACTACAGCGCCTAATGGTTCATAACTTCAAAATAGTGTCATTAATCCCCGCGGGCTCTGGAACAACCAAATCAGCCTTCTTAGGGGGGCTTCTTAATTAGAGCCGCCTCGGGATGGTGGGGAAGGGGGGAGGCTTCAAAAGTGACAGGAGGGAGCGGATGTCATCAAGTGTTGACAACAGAAGAAAATAGCATCCCCACAGTGGGGGTCCTGTTTAAGAGTCAGGCCGCGTCCACCCGAACCGCCGCTATGGCAACGGGGAAGTGCGTGTCCTCCTGATGCATTTCTCACTCCTGATGAGTGCTTTTCAGTCTCACACGTTGTCTGACACACGTCGAGCGTCCATTGGGGTGTGTGGGGGCGTCTTTGCACAGAAACTTGAGATTAGTGACTGAGAGTCCTCGTGGACATCAAGTGAAAATGGCTTCTGCTGCAACTTGATACATCATGTTTTTATTAAAAGCAGGGACTTGATATGTTTGATGTGTCCATCCTGCACTGAGCATTCATGTCACTGAGATCCTTTGCTCTCTAAAGATTTCTGTTTTCTACCAAAACAACAGAAACTTTGATGAATGAAGGCATTTCTTGAACTTTTGCACATTTTTGGACAAAGTTTGAATTGATGATGGCCCCACATGCAGCCACAATGTTGCTGAGGATGACTCTCAGCTACTACCACATGAACATTACCACATTTGGAGTAAAGTGTAGCCACTTTTGTGTTTCCAGGTTACCTGTGATGGCCACCTTGATTAGAGATAACCCCAACATGTAATCAGATGTACATCCAGTAGTTATTTTCTGAAAGTTTCATTAAAATCCATCCAGTGGTTTATGAAATATTTTGCTAACAATAGACTTGGCTTTGTTAATGGTAAAGTTTTTAAATTGAACCTCTATCTATCAGGCAACGCCACATTTGAGCTCAGTATCTATAACATTGACAGAGTTGCAGCCATTGTGTTATATGCTTTGCTGTAGATGATAATTGACTTTCATTTAAATTTGTCAAGTCGTAAGAGAGATATTTTGCTAACAGCACAGACAAAAGTCCACACAGACATCATCTCTCTGCCTTCTCCTTCAGCGGCAGGCGATAAGAACCTGAGTTTGTCTCCTGAATGTGGAGCAGCTGAGGAGCTGCAGGTTCAGCACCGCGGACAGCGACAAGCCCGCTGCCTGTTGCTGAGGAGTTCCTCACGATCCAGTCTTTGTGTGGCTCTGCATCACTTCCTGTTCCGGACAAGCAGACCCACTCCACATCCCTGTGCTGAAAGATCACTCCAGAGAAGCAGATTTTCTTTTTTTTTTTTAATGCTGGTTTCTGAGTTGAGTTTCCAAAAGAAAGAGCTAAATATCTCCCACCATCTAAGGTGCAGGCCGAGCAACGTGCATGCTAGTTTATTATCAAAATATCTCGTGAACCACTGAATGGATTTGGATGAAACTTTCAGAAAATCATCAGTAAATTAACATCTACAGCTTATTTGTTTTTGAAGACAACATGAGTCGAGATGGCCCCCTCAAAACAGCAGAATTCATTAAACACAATAATGGTTATAACTGACTAAATTTTAAGTGCATTAAGCTGTATTTGGGTGTGACTGTAGCAGAGACTGATCCACAACTTAAACTTAATGCACTGCCTGATAGTGCAAGAGCTGTGTTTAACGTTTTGCTATTAACTTTTGGATTCAACTCAAGTCTGTCTGTTAGCAAAATATTTTAAAAAAACATTTAATGGATTTTAATGAAACATTCAGAAAACAATTACTGAGTTCACATCTAAAACTTACCAATGTTTAAAGTCAGCTCAAATAAAATTGTCCACTTTAGTTAACTGTTATAGAAAAAAACAAAGACGGCTATAATTAGGCCTGTCGCGATAAACAATAAATCAATTAATCACATGATGAATGAAAATTATCGGCCTCACTTTCATTTATCGGCTTTATCGTTTCTTCGTGTCTTTCTTTCTACTGAAGACATGGCTCAACCCTGGTGCTTTTCACTGACCCCTCTTTTTCACTTTTCTCTTTAAAATCTGTTTTTCACCATCCAGAAATTGCATTTTTGGATCGTTAAAAGCAACAAAGCTGAGAAGCTACGAGCTAAGCTAACAGGCCGACCTCGGGAATAAACCTCCGTCTTGTCGAAGCTCCAAAATTCACGATTGAAACTCGTCCCTTCGTGTAAAAAGTTGTTTTTCTCTGCAAAAAGAAGCTGAGAACGTGTTTACTAATTATTTATTAAAAGCTTTGTGTGAAAAATGCTACGCTAAAGAGCTCAAACCACCAAGTGTCCACCATGTCACCATGTCAGCCCATGTCATGTCAAGGGCCCTCCTTCCCATTTCTCTTAAAGAGACACGCTGCTCAACCATCATTTGGATCAGTCTTTTACTGCCATCATTTGGTCATAAAAGGTAATTTACTCCAAACAAATCTACATTTTTTCTAAAATTTGACAATTAATTATTGTTAAATTTCAAACAATATTATCGTTTATCACAATAATTTCTGAGACAATTAATCGCCCAGCAAAATTTGTTATCATGATAAGCCTAGCTATAATAACCATTTTGACCAATATTGAGTAAAAAAATTGGGATGATAGTAGCTGAGCATGGTCTCCAACACATACTTTGAGTGCAACACACTGCACAAAAATTGTACTTAAAATCTTGGCATTGTCTTTTATAGTCAATCTTGTTTGTCTGTTGACAAAATATCTAATTAACCACAAAGCAGAGCAAGAAATAAACTCTTACAAAGTAATTATTGGCCATATATCTGGAACCGGTTAACTTTTGGAGCAAACCCAATTTAAGATAGGAACTACAACTAATTGATATTTGCTTTAACAAAATGGCTACACCTCAGTGAATTTTACAGATAATGAGCTAAAATTTGTTGTGATGGTAGCTGACCATCATTCAAAACACATACTATAACTGCTAAAAGATCATGTAACGTATAAGGCATTGCATAATATTATTTTCAAGGTTTGACCAAACCAAAAATATTTCAAAAGAACTCTGGCATGTTAGGTTTTTATGTTGATGTGATGTTTCTGTGTAAACGTTAGACCAGAACAGGTCTATTAGAGTGAATGCATGTGTTAAAACAAGGGACGGATGAAATAAAAGCGTGGCCCCTGAAAGGACACAGGAGCCCTTTTTCCTGTCCTGCAAGATGTGCCCACTCAGCAGAAAGCCCCAGCTGCCTCCTGCAGGAGGCTGGCTAAATCAGGAGGTCAGCTCCCCTGGGTTTGTCTGTTTCCACCCTGCCCCATGCTCCATTCTGCCCAGACAAGAGGCATGCATTGTACTACCGCTGTTCTCCTGTCAGGCTGAAACCTTTACACACCCCCACAACACACAGTCCCACAGCCTAGTCAGGCTTTTGTATTCTCAACATCAGGCGCTCCACATAGAGCGACAAGTGTCGAGAGTTTGGTGTGTGCAGGGGAATACTGGTGTTTGTGGCCACCAGTAGCCTGTGAGGGAGCTGGGCTAAATCCCCACACATAACTGACATATCATGTCCAATAATTCGCATCTAAAATAATAACCTATGGAAGTTGTGTGGCTAGATTCGGTGTGGTTGTAATAAAACGCCTTGTTAGAGCACATTTGCTGTATTATTTATTATTTTTTTCACCGGTTCACACCTGCTGGTTGAAAGCACCAAAAAGCACTTTGCAATGCTGCTGAGGGTCTCGGGGATCCAGAACAAAATGTTGTGTTCCTCCTCCACCTGCACGGTGTCTGCCAACACGATCGGAAACGTTGCTGCTTAGCGACGAAGCAGCTGAACATCACGAGTCGTTTTGCAAGCTCATTTGTTGTTTGCTTGTTCTTATTTTTTGTTTGTTTCTTTATTTTGTTAGGGGGTGTGATCATTTTCTTGAACTAATGTCTGCAAGAATTCAAATTGTAGTGAAAGTGAGGTTTTAAGTGATGCGCGTGTGCATGAGCTCGTGCAGCTGCACTCGGAACAACCTTTGTGCCCTGCATGCAACACACCATTTTTTTAATCATCTTTTTTATTCAGTTGTTTAAAAGTAGCCTGAAAACTTGAAGATCAGTGATCACATGTAAAACAAAGCAGGCAAATGTAGCCTGTCCTTCAGATGTCAGCTGCTGCTTAAAGTGTCTTTGACCCATAAATGCTAAAGTCACCGGATGAAACTGATAAGGTATCTATGTCTCTGTGTGTGCGGGACAGTGTCCTTGGATTTGTTACTTTGTGAGGCCCATTTTTTCCAACACATAATACGTTGTGAGGACCAACTGCTCCTTATGGGGCCCAATGAATCAGAATCAGCTTTGTCATTGCACCGAAGCACAACGAAATTACATTTCAGTACAACCCTTCCGAAAAAAACATAACAAACAGAAATGAGTAGACGGAGGTGACTGAGGCTGCCGGCCTCAAGAGGCGCAGCCCTTTTTTCAG